GCAGGATTTGGTCCTATATTGGATGCACCAGGCACTAGGTATTCTCCCACCAGCTTTACTACTATTTTTGTGTGTGCAAAGGACCAACTTTATTACTGTCTTTTGAATAGTTAATCTTTTATATTCTTGTCTTGTTACTCAGTACAATGCTTTATTTTTGTAATTACTGTTTGCAGACTTCCATCAAATAATCCTGATCCTATGGGTGACAGTATGCCTCCCCCTAATGCTTGGCGTCCAATCCATCAACCAAATACTGGTACATCTTTCAATGCTGGTTTTCATGGTATTGGGCCTCCATCGATGCCAAGATCTGGCGACATGGCATTGCCTATAAATGCAGTAAGTATAAATTCAAGGATACCGGAGGATTTTTCCCCAAGCTCAATGATAATATTTTTTTCTTTAAAAGCTACAACCAACTGAGATGCTTTTCCCTATTTGTTTTATGCCAAAATGTTGCACTTTTCAATTTTAATTGCTGCCTTGATTTTGCATTCATACTCCCAGCAAACTTATTCTGAAGTTTGGCCAAGTAGATGGACAATTACAATAGATATCTTAGTGATAAAGTTCAAGCCCCAAGGATGCCAACAATTAAATTAGTTAGAATCAGTCAGTAGAACAACAATAGATTTTTGGTAACAATTTAACACCACTACATATCTTCATATAAAACCATACCTCTGTTTGGTAGCGGTTTTATCACAACTTTCAGTGGGATCTGCAGCATTGCGTTGCTGATTATTCAAACTTGAGGATAAATACTGGCATCGTGGAAGATTGAAAACACTGCATATGTTCATTATTTGATAATTAAAAATAAACAAAAATATTAGATATAAACATTTGGAACTAACGTACAAGACTGAACCCGGAATGAAGCATCCGATCAACTAAACAAGTCTATACGTACGGTCATTGACTCCACAATACATTCTCAAGATATTAAGAGCACTTAACAAAAAAAGAAGCAGGAAACAGATAATATAAATAATAATAATAATGGGCCTAACAACAATGCAAAATGGTAATCTGAGGCACAGCAGAACCATACCCTTTCTCTTTATACTTCCTAGTGATTGCTTGGTAATCTGTCTCCCAAGAGTTTGCAGAAGCTTGATCAAACTCCATGTCACTGAATACAAATATCAGATGAGTTTAATGCATAGAACCTGGCATTAACTTGATGTTTTGACAGGTTTTACAACAGCTCTATAACATGCCGATGATATCTTTGGTTTTGGCCAACCAGATCTTGTTAGGTGCAGGTTTCGTTTCAATGCTTATCGCAGAATTACCGTCTAAGGGATGCTCATTCGGACGATAATGAGGACCCTTGTGCCTACGTATGCTCATTCGGACTATAATGAGGAATCAAAGCGTTAGTAGTTTGACTACGCGAAGAGGTTTGGATAGCAAAGGAAAGGTGTAAAAAGGTGAAAAACAGAAGGTAGTAAAAGGTGAAAAAAGAAAAAAGGTAGCTCGCCATGGATTAGGGCCCTTGTGCCTACATATCTTGATTCTGACGAGAATGAAGAATCAGAGCGTTCGTGGTTCGCAGATATGACCACGAAATAAAGGGAAGGATGCTATGCTTGGATGACGATTACTTGAAGCTTAAGAAAGGCTCCTCGGGCTCAAGTAATCAGGAGAGTGAATCGAAGACTCGACTCTCTCTCTTTTTCAACCTTAATTGTGAAATATTTTTTATAGTTGTTATGTGTTTTGAAGTTTGATTGAGAAAATCCACTTGATGTTGGATCAAGAATTTGATTATACACGAAGAGATTGATTGCGAGGCAAAAGGAACTCGACTTAAAAGTTGATTTTAAAAATGCCACTTGACGTTGAATCAAGAGTTTGTGAAAAAGGTGTGAATCGATACTAGTCCCTAGGGGTGCTCCTAGTAATGAAACCACGACGAAAGGTGCAAGTGTGTGCATTAGATTGATGGCGAATGCTAAAGAGCAATCGACTTAGAAGAGGGTTTTGAAAATCACAATGAAAATAAATAATAATAATAATAAAAGAACAAAGAAAAGGAAAAACGAAATGGGGAGGCGCTGCAAACATAAGGGTGTGGTAACATCCAGAATTCTGGTTAAAATATGATGATAGTTTGTGAATTGTAATGGCTAGTGCAGATTTATTAGAAATGCTTTTGTGTGGTTTTGCTTCTAGTTTTTGCGCAGGATTTTTTATGTTGTGACTTGTTTTGTCGTTTGCGTTTTATTTGGTTTCAGGTGGTGTGTATTCGTCATGTTTGTAACATGCTGTAAGGTATAATTAATGGTTGGATCATTTGTAGCAAGGGTGTGTGCAAGTGGGATCATGGCTTGGAGAACATTGGTCAAAGGTGATGCGTGAATTGCCTGGTTGTGAAAACCAGCTTGTGAAGACGCATTGAATCGTGCGGCAGGTCGTAGAAGGTTTGAGGCAATTGTTTTTCTGGCTAGTAAATTGCTGAAGGTGTTTATGGGAGCATGAGCCGTGTAGAATAATAACTAGGCATGTAGCTTTTCCCTTTTTTTTTTGGCAATTTTTGTTGTGTTGTAAACATGGGCCTTTGATGTGTAAATGAACTTTTTTAAATTTTCTTGAAATGGTATGATAAATAAAAAAAAGGTAATGATTTTGGCAAAACTGATCTTTTGTAGTATATATGGACTATCTTTTTATTGTAACATGGGATTGTATGGAATTATAATCTAGGAACTCAAAAATAATTTATGAATGAAACATGAATATTAGGATATCAATATCGAAATTAAAATTGAAAAATGATATTGGGTGTGCGAAAATGGATATAAACATGAAGGACAAATGGGAAATGGATTAAAAAACAAAGAAAAAGTCATGGTTTCCCTTGTTATGATACTTCATAAACTTGCATTTGATACTTTGAAAGTCCTTGAGAAACCTTTATAATTTAGGATCTAGGGCAGGCTTGAATGATCCAATCTTGTAAGAAAATGCTTGATCATGAACGAAGATTTTTGTTTGTTTGAATAAACCACAAACCAATCTTATATCAACCTTGAACTTAGCCTCTTGCATTGATAAACCAGTTTTCCACAATGGACCAAATAAACAACACCTGACTGATGATATAGAATGGAAAAAAAACTCTGATTGAAAGAAGCAAATTCCACATAATTCTCCATTATAAAAATTTCTGAAATCAACATGGTCTGGTAACCTGACCCACACACAGATGACACGCATTGGCACACACCCTAATTGAAGCCTCAGACATACATCACTTGAATCATGAAACACACTCTTGCCTGACAAAGATTAAGACAAACCAAGACGATTCTCAGTCCATACTACACACACTCCTGAGCTAATGCCCCCAAATGAAGCATAGACTTAGGCAATAAGAAAATGAAAGTGGAAGCAGCATATTTTTAATTTTTTGAATAACAGTTAATGGATGGAAGTACAAATGAAAGTAATGTACATGTAGGACAAATTTGAGGTATGACAGATGCCTCTATCTAATTGGCTTAAACCTAGTAAGATGAACTGCTACGACGTTCATTCTTTCGAGGTAGAAGTCAATTTGATATGAAGAAGACTCTGAATTTGTCCGAAAAAAAGAAAATGTTTAAGAGGTGGAATAACAGATCAATGTCGACCCTCGAGTGGACAATGACTAACTTGCAGGGGTCGTTACCATCGAAAAGATGATAAAATATTTCTGACACCGAAAGGATGACAGACCTATCACCAAAAGGATGATAAAAAACCCACGCGACTCGACTCGCTATTATCAAAAGTATAACAATAAGTACACACACAGACCCTTCATCAAAAGTATGAAAATGAGGTCAAAACTCGCTATTACCAAAAGGGTAATAGTTAGCACACACAGATTCTCGACACCAAAAGAATGACAGATATACCACCAAAAAGATGATAGAGAACGCAACTCAACTCTGGCACCAAAAGAATAATGAATCTACCACCAATGGAGACTCTCAGTGCTTCTTCTTCAAATATCTTTTAATTACCCACATATGCAAGGAACTTGAAGAGAAATCATTCACAACCCCTCCTTCTTCCTCTTAATCACAATCTTGCCTTCACTTCTACTTCTTTCTTCTTCTCCCATTTCCCATTGCTCTTCTTGTTAGCCCTTTCCAACAACATGAGATATTATATGTGAGAGGCAATTAAAAGAGAACAAGTTAGTAAACTTGTTTGTCTTTTTTGGTTGCAAAATGCCCAATTCGCCCTTTACTTGCTTATAAATTTTCCAAAGTGTCACTCTCCACGTCTTTACTAATTTGCCCTTACCAATTGGTCAAAATACTAATGATTGTCAGTCTTAGATAATTAGAGTCATTAACATCACTAACACACAATTGATCCCATTACAACTCTTTTGGTATTAGGGGACTAAGGCGTTACAATGAACTACCTATTTTACATAATGTAATGTTGAACATTTGTAATTATTTAAAATAAGTCATTAATACCTTCTCTTTTGCTAATTAATAAAGTACACAAAATGGTTAATGAGTTACATGTAAAATAAAATATTAATATTTATTTTTTATGATTAATAAAATAATGAATTTGATTATTGACATAATCTAATATTTAAGTTACAAACTAATTTTTAAAGTTTTTTAAAATATATTTTTTATTTTAAAAATATAAATACTTTTTATTAAAAAGATTTGCAAAAATATAGAAATTATTCACGGTATAAATAAAGTGAACTATTGATGTCAAATTTTGGTGTAAAAATTGTGTTAGAGATGACCAATAAATCCCTATAAAATTGCTGGAGCAACCAACAAATAACTAAGAATTAGTTTTCTTAAACAAAAGGCCATCAAGAGTTTACCTAATATAGCATAATCAATACTCAATTACACCACCTCAACCTCAAGCTACAAACCTCTCGTACTTATATATTATCTTTTTGACTAATCTCTAAATTTCTTAGTATATGTTTTACATATATACTCTCTCAATTTCTCTGCATGGCCTTAGGAAATGCTTCTTCCATAACAAACTCTCATTGCCTCACAAAGCAACCACGTCGCACATGCATGTGCTCGCCGACCAATCATCCGGGCTCGTTCCGGTGTAGCAAGCACAAGAAGTCGCGGCACGTTGTGGTTGCTCCATGGTTATCTTCTTCCTCTTCCAAAGCAGATTATCGTAATCTGGATCGTTCGCGAATGACCATAGCCCTTAAAGCGAAACACCCGTTAACAGCATTTCTCCTCCAAATAATTAAGCATCATTCTAAAAATGTTCTTTATAGGAGGAAGATATTCCAGCCAAAGCCTACTCGGTTTTCGATAATGAACCGCATTGCAGTTTTGTGACCGATAGGTGTATAGTTCTTTAATGGCAAGCTCTAAAATCTCTTCCATACATTTTCCATGATGTAGCAGAATAGTCACTTTTACATGATCCAATAAGGTTGATTGATATATGAACAGAAACTATTTCTTTGTTTCATTTTTCCATTTTCTCTTGGAAGGAGAAAGATGAGAATGCCTTATTGGATTTGAGGTATGAGGATATGATATATATCTTGGCATGAGGTTTTCGATGTGTGTAGAATCGATAACATGTAAATCATGTTTTATTTTAAGTTTGTAATGGAAGAAATGTTTTAGGTTTTGTTAAAACATTGTATAATACATTAATTTTGGCCACATTACTTCTCATTTTGTGTCTTTATAGTGCAATTGCATGATATTTTAAAGTTTTGTTTGAGAACCGGGAGAGTAGAAAAAAATGAGAGTTTTGAAAAACAAAATTAAAAAAAAAAAAAAATAGAGAATTCTATAACTTTTTTAAAAGAATAATTTTATTTAAAATAATAATCGAATGTTTATCATTATTGTATTATAATAAATAAAATATATTTAAAAAAATTTATGTAAACCATGACAAATCCTTCTCCAAATTACTATAACAAATATATTTTATAATAAAACTTTCACCTTACCCAATAAAAATACCGAAATATAGATTTTGGCCGAGTTATGTTTAAATTTTTTTATTATAAAAAGTATCATTTATTTTCTTAATTCATTACTACAAATATTATATTTTGTGACAATGTTTTCACCTCATCCAACAAAAAATTGTGGTAAAATTCCTAGACGCGCTACATTATTTTTTTTTCAAAAAAATATCATATATTCTCTCGGTTTAAGTACATAACCGAGAGATAATTAATTCAGAGTACATGTTTTGAATCCCATCCACTACAATTTATATTTTTATTTCTTTTAAAGTGACACATGTTTTTACTTTATTTAATTATTAAATAATTCATTTCATCGGTTACTTTATTAACTGAGAGATCTGATACCCAAATTTAACTATCAAATGATTTATTCACTAAATTTTACCCTAAACCTAATGCATATACACAACTGCTTCATACTCTTAAACATCATTCCTTGTGATCAATTGCAAGATAAAAAAATATATTTGGTTTTGTGTTGTTCTTCTAACACCAACCTTTAACAAATTATTTTTATATTTTTACAATTTATCTCACATAATGGTGTTATTTTTGTTGTTGTTGTTATTGTTTTCACCTCTTGCCTACGTTAAATGGTAAAAGAAACACTACTACAAAATATACCTTTGTTAACATTATTTTACTACGGTCATTCAGTCCACCGTTGTAATATCTCAATTTGGAAGCGCCTGATTTTTTTATTAGAAGACATTTAATTACGGTTGTGCGAAACAACCGAGGTGATAAACTAAGTGTTACAAACTTCGAATTCCACTAGCAACATTTTTCCATATTTTCTTATTAAAAAGACGTGTGTCCCTTAAATTCATAAGTTAAACAAAAAATGAAAAATGTTTAACTGCGGTTCTATTTATCCACCGTGATAACATGTTATGTATTTCACTACGGTTGTTCTTATCAATCATGGTAAAAGACTTTCTTGTCAATTAAAACAAAACAAATTTTTTATTTCCTTCATAACATGCCTTAAACAAAACAGACGACAACGACAGCGAACTTTTCATTTTCACCATCTTCATTCATTTGGAATGAAAATCTTCACCGTCTTCATTTTGTGTCCACCATCTTCATTAATTTGAAACGAAATTCTTCATTATGTGTTCACCAACTTTATTCATTTGGTCTCTTCCTCCTCTTTGAAGTACGATACATTACTTTTTATGGCTGATGTTCATTGTTTTTATTCCTTTTTTGTTTATTTTATTGTTACTTTTCATTGCTTCATTGATTTTTTAAAAGCTTGTGTTCATATTGTTCCTGGTTCGTAGTTTCTTTCGTTTTTGAAACCTTGTGTTCATATACTATTGTGATGGATATGCATATCCTTTCGTAGTTCTTGGTTTATAGTTCATTGTGTTTTTTAGCGTTAAATATTATACTATTGTGATGGATATGCATATCCTTTAGGTTTAGTGTTATATTATTGTTATGAATATGCTTTAGGTATGTATATGTTTTAGGTTTAGGTTTTGGTGTGTGTAGCGGTGAAAAATTTGAGATTAAGTTATTGATTAACTTAACTCACAAAAGCAAGAGTCACACCACACTTTATTGTTTCTAAAAGAATGGGAAAAGAGCGAATGAAATTCACATAAGTTTTAAAACAAAGAGACAAGGGTAAGTGGGTTGGTTATGTAATGGGAAGGTGTTAGTATCCAAAACATCTATAGTACTCTATAGTAACCTCTTGAAAATCTATGTTTGGTTTAAAACTGATTGTTTGCAAAATATTGGGGAGATGAGAAGAGAAATATTTTTTAAAATTTTAGTTTGACAAGACTTCTTGAGCCTCATGCCTACGTACCCACAAAGTGCAACGGAGGATCAAAACCTCGTAGTTCATGGTATAAATAATAAAAATGTTTATTTTGATTGATTTTAAATGAACAAACATTTTGCCATATTCGAGTGGAAACTAAACTTACTATCCACAATTAATGAGGAAGGATCATTTGCATCATCTTAAGATGGAGGTCTTTTGCTTGGATGGAAATCAACAAGACTATCACTCAATATCTAAGTGGACAATGTCATCACATACTTTATTATTGTAAAAGTATAGGAGATGTAAAAGGAAAAGGTGCACAAAGGCACAACAAATTTGAATGAGTTTTGTGTTTTTTTTAAGTCTTTTGATATTGTGTTCATATGCTTAAGATGTTTTAGCTTATTTAAGAAAAGATTTTGAAAATCACTTGACAAAGTCAAGGTTTATTAAGAAAGTGATTCGAGTTTGAAAACAAGAAGGTTTTGAAAAAGGGAGAAGATTTTAAAAATTAAAGAAGGGGAGAAGATGAAGAGACTATCATAAAAAAATCAATAAAGTGGAAGTGTGTGCAAGTGTGCTAACTAGGATCTAGCCGACACTTGACAAGATTCAAGACCAAAATCCCATTCTTTTGGAACAAGCCACAAGAAAAAAGTAGATAAAACACAAAAGGAACCAGCCAAATAAAGTCACAGAGAAATAGATAAAGTATCCAAGCTTGATTCAAGGCCACCAGTATCAGAGGAACTTAATGTCTTCAACATAACATAATATCAAATGAACTTCCATGTTTCAGTCAAGAAAACTTCAAGCATGGGAAACCCTAATTCTAAGTCTATAGGTCAAACTTCAAGTCAAACAAAGGATAGTAACCATAGTCCATGAGAGATTAAAGTTTTTAGGGATTTTTTCCTTTATTAATGTATTTCAAAGAAAACGAAAAATGTCCAAATAGACAAAGGAAAAAGAAGCATAAATAATATGAAATGTAATGCTAACAGTAAAGACATAAAAATAAAGAGCAAGAAATTAAATGATAAGAAAATAAATGGCAAGAAAAGTAAAGGTGCATAAAGTAAAAGATAGTACAATAATAATGTTAATATTAATTATAGAGTTAATAATCCGATTCGGGAAAACTTTTAGAGCTATGTTAAGCAATCGTAACATAATCTATTAGGAAGATCATACTATAGGAGGCCGGTCAATAATAATTTATATACCATACATGTTAGAGATATGATAAAAAAATTATACTCCTAAAACATATAGGACAAGTAAAAAAAACAAGGAGGGATCAAACACTTAAGACAAAGAGGTTGGTCCATTGCATCAATCATCCTTCATGACAATTTAGGAAAAACTTATGCATCAATCCAAAGTACCTCAAATGATCTATGATCAATTGGAATATAGATTTGAAATGATGAAAGTTCATCAAGCATCAATCCAAACTCATGAACAAGATAGATACTAAATCATCCAATTGATCAAGAGAAAAGAGAAAGGAAAAGAAGGAGAAGGAGAGATGAAGAGAGAAACCAAATTGAACCAAGACTTGAGATCTCTCTATCATCAATTTCAATCACCTCTCTTGATGGATTAAGGCACTAAACCTATCATCAATTCAAAGTACTAAAAGTGATCCAAATGATCATTTAATAATAAGTTTAATCTGATGAAGATTCATCCAACCTCATCAACACCCAAAGTCCTTTGAAATTGAGGAAGATTTTGATTAAGAAGTCACGATTCAAGGCAAAAACAATTAATCAATAATAAAAAAATAAAATGCATGAAAATAATTTTTTAAAAATGATTTTAAATGAAAAATAAAATAAAAAAACAGATGAAGCATCAAAACTCAAATAAATCCTCAAGAAAAATATGGAAAAGTCAGAAAAACTACAAGAATTAAGATCTCAAAAGAATGGATCAAAAATATTTGAGAATGATAGAGAAATAATTTTTTAAAGTTTATTAAAAAGGAAAACAAAATAAAATAGAAAAAAAATCTAAAACAAACTTTAAAAATCTAGAAAAATCACACAAGATAGAAAATAATTTTAGAAAAATATAAAAAAGAATTTGAGTGAAAAAGATGAAAAGAACTATTTTTTATGATTTTTGAAAAGAAAATGAAATTAAAACAAAAAGAAATAAAATGTGCCAACAGCTATGAGAGGTGTCATGCTGAAATTGGCTAAATTCAAATATTTCCCACTAACGCACGCGAAAACATCATCTTCGACCTCTGAAACCCTCGCTTTAGCAATTTCATGAACTGTAAATTTAAGCTCAACCACACACAAGATTAACTTCGTTTTTCTTCATCTTTCATGTCTCCATGCTCAAGATCAATTTATTTGATCTGAGCATGAAGTCTTTTGCAAAATATGCAGGAACCCTAACAACTTCAAACAAAAATTAAATTCCAAAAAAAATTATTTTAATATTTTATCTAAACAATGTAATTTCAAAAAAAATTATTTATCTCGATTTTAATTATCATCAAGGTGATAGTTAAAAGGAAAAGATTAAAAAACCTCGATTTT